CCGACTTATCTTGCTCTCTCTTCTCTCCCCTCTCTCCTCTATCTCTTCCCTCTCCTCTCGCCTCTCTCGCGTCTCTCGCGTCTCTCCAATCTCTCTCTTGTCGCTTCTCTCTTCTCGCATCTCTCTTCTCGCATCTCCCTTCCCTCGTCTCTCTCCTCTCGTTTCTCTCCTCTCGTCTCTCTCCACTCGTCTCTCTCCTCTCTCCTCTCGTCTCTCTTCTCTCTTCGCTCTTCTCTCGTCGCTCGTCTCTCGTCTCTCGTCTCTCGTCTCTCGTCTCTCGTCCCTCGTCCCTCGTCCCTCGTCCCTCGTCCCTCGTCCCTCGTCCCTCGTCCCTCGTCCCTCTTCCCTCTTCCCTCTTCCCTCTTCCCTCTTCCCTCTTCCCTCTTCCCTCTTCCCTCTTCCCTCTTCCCTCTTCCCTCTTCCCTCTTCTCTCTTCTCTCTTCTCTCTTCTCTCTTCTCTCTTCTCTCTTCTCTCTTCTCTCTTCTCTCCTCTCTCCTCTCTCTTCTCTCTTCTCTTCTCTCTTCTCTCATCGCTCAGTCTCTCTCTCTCTCTCTCTCTCTCTCTCTCCCTCTCTCCCTCTCTCTAATAACAACAACAACAGCACCACGACCACCGCCACTACAAACAAGAAGAAGAACAACGCCAACAGCAACATCAACAATAACAACACCTGGTCCCAGCCGCTTTATCCTCTTCTCTCTTCTTTCCCTCTCTCTCTCCCTCTCTCTCGTGAGGGGTGAGAGGGGGGGGGACGTGCCGTTTGTTTTGGTTTTTACAGCACATCCTGCACTGGAAGTGCCTTTCGCATCGGTGTGGCCGACGTTTCGTGCGGATGCAGTGCGGTTTGGTTGCCTGGAAATCAGGAAAGAGATTGGGGGGTCCCTGGTTTGGCTGAGATATCAAGGACGATATCAAGGACTTGCGCGGTTTGGCGCGTGACAGTGGAACACTACTAACGCAATAGAAGCGAAAGACGAGTTCGTGATATGAATCAACAACGAATCCAGTACGAACCCAAGACCTTCCAAACACGACCGCATACGAACCAAGTACAAACCCAGACCCGAACCGGACCTAAACCAGACTCGAACCATACGAAACGGACACGAACCAGACACACACACACACACACACACAGACACACACCAAATACGAATCCGACACGAACCCAGACGCTAACCAGACACGAACCAAACACGAACCCGGACACGAACCGGACGTGAACCAAACACGAACCCAGACGCGAATCAAACGCGAACCCGGACACGAACCCAGACCCAGACACGAACCCAGACACGAACCGGACGCAAACCCGGGCACGAACCGGACCGGACAGGAATCCAACAGGAATAGCGATTGAACTGCTTCGCAACTTCCAAGCGGTGTCTCCCTATTCCTTGCGGAGCTCATTTGTTTGGGCGTTTCTTATAAATGCACCGACAACAGGTGGATCGATTTTTTGTTTTAATCGCTGATTGAAGGAAATTTCTGCATGATTTCCAGACGCTCGGGTGTTGAAAGCATTAGGATAGCAGGGTCCAGCCAGGGGCTATTACGTAAAGAGTCCGGTACAATGCCTGCAAGATCTGCTGAAGATTACTGCCAGGCGAATATCATCCTCAAATCTGCAGAATTTTGTTACCCCGAGAATGCCACCCTAAAACTACCCAAAATAGAAAATGCCGCGAGATTTCCTAAAGCTACCAAAGTCTCCGGGAGTTTAGCACTGGGAGAAAAGCGCTTGCGATACTAGAATTTCTCTATGATTTTAGTCACACGAGACAACCATGCAAGAGGCTTTCACGAAGAAGCGCGGAAAGGGACCAAGTTGCAGGGGGCAGGGGTGCGCGCAGAGTCACGGACACAAGCAGCACGACACCGGTTTACCAGAGAATGAGATGTCTAAATCCAATCATCTCTTCCGTACAATATTTCAATACATAGACATATCTATCGAGAAATCTAACAATCCATGACTTATTCAACCTATCAATGCACATGAGTCTATGATTTTGGATTTGGGAATGGAAGTTATGTATAGATAGTATAACTTATGATTCGAAGTATGGACTAACAAGTCTTTCTATAGAAACCAAGATACGTTCTGAATAATTGAGGATATCCGAATATCGTAGATCAGGTCATCCTGACCTTGCTGCTTGATCGACATACGCATTTCGGAACTAACCTATCCAAGCTCGCACCCGAGCAGCAAACGTTCAGTCTTCGACACACACAGAGAGAGATATACATATATGTATATATACAAGGGGTTAGAATGAACGAGCGGCCTCTCCATAGACAAGACACTATGACAATTAGCCGCTATTGCGAGAAGTATTATCAAAGGCTTCTATCTATCGTAGTAGGTATTCAATGATGCTCATACCGTCACGGTGTTTGTTTCACGGCAGCAGCTTGTCCAAGTTTCGTGAAGTATTTTCACGAGGATTGTGCAAGCTGCAGCGCTGAAGCAGGTACATCGCAAGAACACCGTTGAGGCTACGGCTTGCGTAGTAAGGCTTCGGTTTTAAGGCCATAGGCTTGGAAACGCTGAGAACTTGGGCACCAAATGCGAGCATGCTTACAAACCTGGAGGGGTGGAACCGCAGGCAATCCTAATACGAATTAATATTAGTGTCACAAAGATTAGTTAACAATAGTACTGATAATAATGAAGACTGGAGTCCTTCCTAGTCCTAGACCCTCAAACGATTAAGAAGTTTCAACCCAAAACCGTGCACCCCAAACCCTGAACGTGAGTTCAACTCTATACCCTGAACCCAAAGCCCCTAACACCAGAGCTTATGCACCCTACAGCCCGAGAGCCTAAAGCAACAAAGCTTCAGCTGTTGCGTGACTCCCCAGCCCCTTCGGGGGGGGAGAAATGCACGCACATCGATGCTGGCGTACTGCGTGCGGTAGAGGACATCTCAACGAGGGTGCGGGGTGCGGTTTAGGGGTGTACATTGTTAGTGTTAGACACATGGAAACCTCCGGAAGCTTTGGAAACACCCTAAACCCTAACTCCCAAACGCTAAAGACATAAATAGAACTTGCTTCTCATTGCTTGCATTGATCCTGCTAAACCGTCAGTTTCAACCCCAACCCCAACCCCCCAGCCAGCCCCACCCAGCCCAGCCGAGCCCAGCCCAGTTCCCAAAACATAGAAGCAGTCGACCACGAAATCCCCTCACTCCGACCCCCCTCCCAGCCCCAAAGCCAAAATCAGGTTCCAGTCGCCCAGCGCAGCGGGCCCAACAACTCCAAAATCAAGTTCAAAAAGGAGAGTTTAGGGTATAAGGTTTCCTTCAAAACGTGTCGTTCAAAACGTTATTGGCACCCAAACGCTTAGCAATTCTATAAATCCTAAACCCTAAACCCTAAACCCTAAATCCTAAACCCTAAACCCTAAACCCTAAATCCTAAACCCTAAACCCTAAACCCTAAAGGATCCTAAGGCCCCAGGTCCCCAAGCCTTAAAAAAGCCCTAAGCGTTCTCAGTGCTCCCTGTCACAGAACATTAAAGCTCCGGGGCACGAAAGACCCGGGTTCTAGGGTTTTCGGGTTTGGGGTTTTAGGGTTTTGGGTTTAGGGCTCTAGGGGTTTATGGGTTTAGGGTTTTAGGGTTTAGGGTTCGGAAAGTCACCCACCGCATCAGAAGTTACAAATTCCAGGAGCTACGAACAAGCTCCACGAAGATCTGGTCATCTGCCACGGCAAGAGAGACCTGGAGGACGACACTGGCCCCGAACTCTCTGCTTTACAGTAGAAGCCTCAAAGTTGGAAACCCAATAGCCTGATAGGGAATCCCAGCACTATTTGGCCTTAATCCGGTTTCCAACTTTATGGAGTTTACTGTAATGTCTTCCGACATCCCAAAGTTCTCATTTCCAGCCTGCAGCTATCAGCCCAAGTCCTAAATTCCCTGAAGCGCACCGGCCGCACAGCCAAACGCTCCTTTTCCGGGTGCCCGGCATCGTCGTAATAGGCCTGAAAGGCCTCCCAAGTGATGCGCCCTTCCGGGTGATCCTCGGATGCAACGGCGACCAACGACTTTTTCGAACATGAGAAAACGATGAGGATCACGATCATCACGACGATGAGGGTAAGACTAGCAATGAGGGTGGTGTGGATAATGCAGTCTCTGAAGAGGAAGAGGATTCTGATGATGTTGTTGATGACAACGGTGACGTTGCTGTTGATGATGCTAACGGAGGTGGTGGGGACAGAGTGTTTGTAACACACGCTGCTGACGACGATGACCATAAGGTCACCATCATCGTCGCAGCAGCGTGTGGCGTGTGGGCTTACCATCGCGATCATGATGAAGGGACTATTCCCCGAGACTCCATAATCCCTTAATCAAGCAATAGTTCCTATTTTATAGGCAGGATCCGAAACAGGATTTAAGGAATATTCCTTAATTGAGGGATATTGGAGTCTCTAGGTTCATGAATAATTTCTGGTGATGGTGAATATCATGCAGGCGATGAAGACGATGGAGACCGGAGAGATCACGGTCCTGCTGCTACGGTATTGGTGATACCCCCCCTCAGCGTGATATCTAGCATCACCTGCTTCTGCTCTTAAGGGGACTGTGCAAAATCGTGCAATGTTGACAGGCGTATGTGCTTGGAGTGTCCGAGTAATGATCGAAGCAGTGGGAAAGCGGCCTTATCAGGGTTCATTCGGGGTTTCTGGGCCTGAGCCAAGCTTCGACACCACCCCTTTCGGGTTTGGCCCTGGCCCTTCCCCTTGGCCCGCTGGCCAGAAATTAAAGGGAGCAGGAGGCGACCAGGGCAGAGGTGGGAATTGAGGGCGTAAGCCCTAAACCCTAAAACATAATATCTTGGGTGGTAGCCGCTGGTAGCCTGTGTAAGCTCACAGACACTCCAATGCTAGACGTAGATATGCCGCCCCCCCACACCCCTGGGAGTATTGGGGCGCCATCCTACATAGAAAATACTGCCGCCTGCCGCTGCGCGGCGAGACGCCCTAAACCCCAAACCCCTAAACCCTAAACCCCAAACCCCTAAACCCTAAACCCCGAACCCCTAAACCCTAAACCCCGAACCCCTAAACCCTAAACCCCGAACCCGTAAACCCTAAACCCCTAACCCCTAAACCCTCAAACCCCTAAACCCTCAAACTAAACTCTGCCAAGAAGGCCAATGACAAGCCCAAGGCCCTGGCCCTGAAAAACCTACCCATTTTAGGGCTCCCCTAAATTATGATTTCCTTATTGGGTGGTTGTTAAAATTATGGTCCCTTTACATAGGGATAGTATTGTACGGCGCCTAATATTCAGGGTACCCAAAAAGGGACCATAATTTTGACAACCATCCTTATATAGGTCCTTAAAAAGGTAGGTTATTTCGGGTGAAGCTAAGCCCAAGCCCGAGGATGATACACCCTTACACAGCTTCACATGTGCAGTCAAATCTCGAGCTCCCACTGACGAAAGAACTCCTGGCTGTGTTCCGGACAGCAGAGATACCGCAGTAGCTTTACTTTTGTACACTGCTTGTAGTCTTTACTTCTTCTAAAGCTGTGGTGAGCGCTACCTTTTAGAGTTTGGAGTCTGGAGAAATTCAGGGCCTTTAGACTAGAGGCCTGTGCGATACAGTATGACGTTGAAAGGCTCGTTCATCCTAGTCAGGGGCTCGTCCAGAGCCACTTGAGCTCAGCAAGCCTGACCCTACATTGCTTGGTGCCATGTAGGACGGTGCAGCAGTAGGTCGAAGCTGCCACCGGGGCAGGACAAACTACCGCGACCTACTTTTCGAAATCCCACTTTCAGCCGCATGTGCTTGCGTGAACGAAGGTATTGGAGTCGGGTCCTAGATGTGGCTCATGGTGTGAAGGACACATGCCAGGCTCAAGAACTATGAACAGGTTGTTTGCAGACTATCATCACATTCATGCACGACCCCAACCCAGAGACCCAGCTCATCCCGGGGGTGCAGACAACCGTTTGCTGTTGGACATGCGCTGATTTGTCAAAGCACTCGTAGATCGCGAAGCATCACAAACTTTAGACTTTAGACAACAAGGCCGCATCTGCGTTGGATGTTACTCTGCAAGCCAGGCTTCAGATTGCAAAAGCAACATGCCTACAGTGCTACAGGAAAATCTCAATCCGAAACTGACAATGCGCCACACCCTAAGCATCCGAAGCAAACGGTTAAACCCCTGAGCTAGACAGCTATGCTGAAACCTGAACATGCTAAACTGCTTAATCGCTGAATCTACTACATAAGTATGCCGAACTAATAACAAAAGGCTAATTACCTAAGCTTCCTAAACGACTGTAACACCCTCAACCTTTCAATCGCTGAATCCTGAAGCTCTTTTCCGTTGATGGGGAGCGCACCTCTCGCGCCTCCTCGATGGACAGAGAGCCATCCTGAACCTTTTGTCAGCGTTCTTTGTGAAAGGACTGTTGCCACTACGAAGACTGACGTGGTGGTAGTGGTGGTGGTGGTGGTGGTAGTAGTAGTAGTAGTAGTAGCAGCAGGAGTGAGTAGTAGTAGCAGTAGGCGTAGCCGTAGCAGTAGCAGTAGCTGTAGCGGCAGCGGGAGCGAGAGCAGGAGCAGTAGAAAGTTGTACATCCACATCTTCTGGCTAAGGATCCAGATGTCGCTCTCGCTCGGATTGACTGGTGACTGCTTGCATAAACCCCGAAAGCAGTAAACGCCAACCCCTCAACCCTATACAACCCTCGAAGGAACCCTTACAGGTACTATAGGGCTCATAATAGGTTCCTCTGTAAATGAAACCCTCTAGATCCCTGAAAGGAACCCGTAAAGGAAACCCTATAAAGCCCTCAAAGGAGCCCTTCAAGGGTACTACAGGCTTCTATAATTCGGTTGATGATATACATCCTGCATTACCCATACGAAGGCATATACCATAACTCCATAGTTTAGAATAGGGTTTTGGGGACCACTGTACCAACTTATAATAAGGAACCCCCAAAGTGGGATTGGTAACTACTTCGGCCCCTATATTATGTCATCAACCGCAGTGTCCCCTTTTGGGAAAGCCTAAGTTGGCGTGAATCCTGGCCTGGCCTTGGGATGGGCCGTGGCGCAGAAGAGCTTCCTCGGGTTTAGTTTGGGGTTTAGGGTTGAGGAAGGTTTAGGGTTTAGGAATCTTTGGGGGGCTGTACATTCTTAGTTAGGGGCTTTGGTTGGGCTTTAGGGCTCTAGCGGCTGCAGGGCTTCAGAATTCTGGAGCTTCCGGTTTGCAGGCTGCTGGCTCTGCAGCATTCTTGCGACTCGGTATATTATACTATTGTTATAATATGGAAATTCCAAATAGTATGGGTAATTATTCAGGCTCCCATAAATACTAGGGGTTCGGGGCTTATGGGAACGTCTTGCGCATTTTGGGCGATCAGATTCTCTTGGGCTGTACGGGTCTAGGGCTTAGTTGAGGGCTTACATAGGCTGTATCGGGCCTTCTGGGTTTAGGGGTTCGGCGATAGTAAATAATAATACGGTTTCCTTATTATATAACTTAAGTTACCATTATAGTGATCTATAGTAAATAATACGGTTTCCTTTTTTGCGGTAAGTTAATTATTTTTTTCCCTTCATAAGCACCCCTTTTCAAGTACAACTCCTCGCCTCTCCGGTTTTCCCCTGACACTCGCTGCGAGGTTGCCCAGGGCTCTTGGTAATAAGTACGACGATAGCTTTGGCACTGCCCCCCACCCTGTAACAGCCTATATTATATCTATATCACGGGTCATATTATACAAGGGCTATTTTTACCATACCACAAACAGCTCTAACTAGCTACAGAGTGGTGGCAGTACCCAACTGATACTGCTCTTTGGAACCTCGGTGGTCTCATATGTTGCTACCACGAGCTCTCCAACTCTCGAGCTCTGGAGAGCTCCAGTATACCGAATGAGCCCAATACCAAAAAATAAAGGAATATTCCTTAAATCATGAGGAGCTACATATTATATGCGGAGCTCGCTATTTCAGAAGAGCTTCCAAGTCTTACTATGATTCGGGATATCGGCTGAAGGGTAAAAGCCAAGATGAGAAGGAAGTCAACAAGGAGCCCGACAAATCATTAAAAGTATTCCTCAGGTTCCCTATTATTATAACTATACTACCCAACACCCCACTCCAATAATTCAGGCCCCTCCCCATAGTATTCTTGATCAAGGGCTTGGGGAGGTTCCGATCGGTGAGTCTAGGATTACGGTCTGGGATTTAGCGGCTAGGGTTGAGGGTTTAGGGGTTCAGGGTCTAGGGTTCAAGGGTTTTGTTGGGGGCGTCAAGGTTTAGGATTTAGGGTTCGGGGTGTAGGATCTAGGGACAAGGCTCGGTTGCGCAGAAAAGTTCCTAATCTTCAGTGTCTCAAAAGCGTCGGAGGCTTCTTAGCTAAGAGGGCTGTGCGCTGACCAGGCTAAGCTGTGTGCTGCAGGTGCGTGATGTCCACCATTTTGGCGATCGCATTGTCCTGCGCAGTCTCGCACTAAACCCCCCAAAAGTCGTGGGATGATCAAAAAAGCGCTCGACTGCCCGGGTGACCAGCACGGGGTCAGGGAAGGGCCAGAGCTAGTTCTGCCATATTTCGACGGGGACTGTTACTCACGACTGCGAAGCTTGTGCCATGAAGACGGCACGTCAAAACCCAAAAGCCGGAACCCTGCTCGGTCAGGAACACTGAAGATGGACATATTTAGGGCTGGGGCGAGGGATCCTTCCCAAGAACATGCGACAACACAAGCCCGCAAGAAGTGAATGCTCAGCCTATTTCAATCTTTTCAAAACCCCTCTTCCCCGGCGCCAGATTGTAGTTACTAAGGCCCGATCTTAGCTGAGATCCTGCAACATCAAGGGCCATCTTATCGTATCAAATGAAGTCCTCTGTAATTTAAGGCACATTGCCAATTAAGGGGTATGGGGCTTTCTGGCATAGGCCCTGAACCCAAACCCTAAACCCCGTACTAAGCCCTAAACCCTAGACCCTGAACCCCCAAACCACCGTACTCTACCCCAAACCCTTAACCCGAGCCACCCCTATACACCCCTTAAAGGTTCCCTGAAAGGAACCCTTAGCCCTAAACCCTAAATCCCTAAACCCAAAACCATAAATCCAAAGCCCATAGGCCCAAAGTAGTCCTTTTTTTGGGATTAGCTTATAGGATCCTAAATACGAACCCCAAAAAGGAACTACTTTGGGGCCTTAGGGCAGAGCAATCGACCTCCAGCTTCTTGAAGGCATCCTTCACTGCGCTGAGGCGGAAGGGCCGCATGGTGCCACCCATCCTTCCCGCAAGGGCTCTTTCAAGGGATCCTTTGAGGGATCTTTAAGGGCTCCTTTAAGGGATCTTTGAGGGTTCCTTTAACGGGGTCCTTTATAAGGGCTGGGATATAAGGGCTAAAAGGGCTTCTATAAAGCTACTATCAGAGATAGGGGCTTCCGGTGCTTGAGCTGGCTCCTCTGAGATTCAAGCCTGTCTATACGATCACTGCTGTTGCTACGGCTGATGGAGAAAATCCTGCATGGCCCTATATACCTAAACTATGGGAATGATGGGTACTCTACTACATTTTAAGGTAATGCAGGATGTTGTCCATCCGCCGCCCTAAACCCCAAACCCTTCCTCTGGGCTTCTGCTTGGGATAATAGGGGATACTAAGACGACTGCGGGGAAGCAGCCGGGACTCTGCCAGCTGCTTCAGGTTTTAGAATTCCCAGAGACTCCAAAGCCCTTTGATCAAGGAATATGCCCTAAATCTTATCAGAGGCCCTGGTATAATTTTAAGGCATCTTCTTTTCGAAGGTCTGGGTTTACCATCTACCAGGCCCAAACCAGATGTGAGACCCCGACCAGCAAACATGCATACTGAGGAAAGCTCGTTCTATGCAGGAATCATCCAGGGTTACGCTACAGGAATCATCCACAGTGAGGCTGCTGGAATCATCAGGTCCAAGCGTCAAAAGTTATGCTGCAGGAACTATTAAAATCATATATGACCCACTTCAAAATTGAAAGGTCTCAGTCTCGCACAGTCGGAAGAAGCGTCGGTAGTTCAGGAGCTCTCTCTCACCTCGCCGTAATACAACCGCACAGGCTTTGGGTTTCGGGTATACCCCCTAAACCCTAAAAACTAAACCCTAAACCCTGTACCCTAAACCCTAAACCAACGACGACAGAGGAGGCCTGGAAACCTGGAAACCTCGTGCACAGAACAAGTCGAAGGGAAGAGAGACCTGCCACATGGAGCGTCCGGAATCCCCGTTGGGACCAACACCCTGTAAAGAATGATTATCCCTTTGAGCTTTACCCAGATGCCCCAAAGTAGTTCCTTTTTGGGATTACCTCATAAGACTCTATATATGAACCCCCAAAAGGAACTACTTTGGGGCCTTAGGGTAGAAGGTAAGAATATCAACTCTGTGGGCATTTCTTACGCATCTTAGCCACGGCTTCAGGGTTAGCATTGACTTGTAAGCTCTAAACTGGCGTCAGAAAAGGCCCCACGATCAAATTAGGGTTCAGGGCTCAGGCTTTTTTTTGTGTTTCTGCGAACAGCTAGGGTCAGCACCAACGTCTATGCTCGGATTTCTTATTCCTGTCTGCTACTCCCAAAAGCCACTGCGGAGCAACATAAACTAGCACAGCACTGAAACTATAGAACAAAATCATATAACAGCGATGGACAGTGAACAGCTAGGCGTACTGGTGAAGCAGAACAGTTCAATCAAGATGGCACCCAGAAGCCGCAGCATGGGATGCCACTCCGGCATCCCGGGATTGTGATCTTTGCTTTTGGGATTTTCGGGCTTAGGGTCACATTCAATGTTTTCCGCAGAAAGCAGAGCCCCACACATCTCGTACGTCAACGACGAGCATACTGGGATGTACTTGAGAACCTACAAGTACCTGTGAATCTGAACTCCCAGCCCTGTGACCAGAACCACACACTCGAAGACTCACTCCGTGAACTCAGGCCTCAAAAGCCCATAAACCCCCAAATTCAGCCAACCCGAAAGACCCCAAAACCCCAAAAACCCTGAAGCCCGGAACGAACCACTACAGCGCCCTGAACCCTAAACCCGTAAACCCGAAGCTGCGGCTCCAAACCCGGAACCCTGGCAACACTCCGCCTTCTGGGGCATCACCTGGAGATCCAAAGCAAGCTACGCTACTGGAGACTGATTTAGGGGACTAAATAATTAGAATAGGGTTTGGGGGTATGATGTACTTGGTGGTGGCAATTATAAAGCCCCTAGATTACTTACAAGCTTCAAGGGCTTTAGGATTTAGGGGTTTAGGGATTTAGCGTTTAGGTTTACAGGTTTGGTCTGCGGGTTGAGGGGCCTTGGGTTTGGGAGTTTAGGTTTAAGGTTTATGGAACTGAGGATGTCAGTGTTACAGGGTGAGGGATTTAGGCGTTTAGGGTCTCGGGTCAATATGGAGAACCTCCGGTTGGCGGCTTTAAGGTTTCGGGTTCCGGGTTTGGGGTTTTTCGGGTTTGTAGGACATGTTCATGGTCGTTAAAGCGTGGGGGTTTCCGAAAATAGGGGACCCTCATCTAGCACCCTGAATATTGGGATCCTTATAATAAGGATCCCAAAATAAGGTACCCCAATTTTTGGAAACTCCCATGTCATCGTGGAGTGCCGAGGTCAAGTCAGCATCTAATTTAATCAAGTGCTGGTCTTGCGGTGCAGCGGTTGCCAGCCACTCGCCCCGAAACTCACCCTCTAAAGCCACATCACGCCCTCTACGTCTTGACTAAACGTAAACTGGCCTGAAGCCCCTAAAACCCTGCAGCCGAAATGAAAGCCCTATGGAAACCCGAGAATCTTAAACCCCAAACCCCAAGTCGCATCCCTACGGTTGATGATATAAATCCTGCATTACCCATAATAAGGAATATACCATAATTCCCATAGTTTAGGGTCCTTAAGGTCATGCAGGATTTATATCATCAACAGTATCCTTAGCCCCAGAGCCTGAAAGCCGAAAGCGACAGGGACCAGGACACAGAAACCTGTGAGCGCTAAATCCCTAAACCCTGCAATCTAAACCCCTAAACCCCTAACCCCCAAGCCCCAAACTCCTAAGCCCTAAAGCCCTAAACCCCAAGCCCCTAACCCCTAAACCCGTAAGCCCCTAAACCCTTAAACCCTAAATCCCTGAAAGCCAAAGCCCTAAACCCCCAAACCCCCAAACCCCCAACAACTAAACACGAAATCCCTGAATCCCTAAACCCCTAACAACTAAACCCTAAATCCTAAACCCCTAACAACTAAACCTGAAATCCCTGACGCCCTGAACCCCTCCAAAGCCCTAAATCCCTGAATCCCTACACCGTCCACGCCCTCACGCCAAGCTGCAGGGATCCAATGGTTTGCCCTCACCGTCGCAGCCAAAGAGCCTGTTGAGAGCGGTTGAGAATTTAGGGATTCAGGTTTAAGGAGGAGCTTTAATCAATAAGGCTTAAGGGTTTAGGGTTAGGGTTTTGGGTTCAGGGTTAGGGTTTGGGATGTAGGGTTTGGGGTTTGAGAATTTGGGGCTCAATGTGGGGCCTGAATAATTGGCTCAGGGTTTTGGGGTATATGATACACTATAATCATAGTAAGGAACCACCGACGGGAGTTATGGTTTAGGGTTTAGGGTTTATTATGGTTTAGGGTTTAGGCTCCTATAGTACGGCCTTTCTTGTCCACAGAGGAGATCATAGGGTTCAGGGCCTGGGATCCTGAGGATAGAAAGCTCCCCCAGAGACTCCAAAATTCCTCAATTCAGGAATATACCTTAAATTACTAGACCTAAGAGTAACCTATGAATAAAAAGGGTGCCCTTTTTGGCTTAAAGGGGGTTTGTAAGGGAATCTAAACCGCAAAAAGGGAATAAGGGCCTACTCTCGGTCCTAGATTATAGTAGGATCCCTAATATGATTTAAGGAATATTCCTTAATCTGGTTTCACAGGATTCCATGGGCATTGTTCATGGGTTTGCAGGGTTTACCTTAGAGAGGGTCAAGATTGACGTCTACGATCGTCGCATAGCTGGTCGCAGCAGTAAAGATTGCGATAAAATCAGAAGGACAGTCATAGTCGGTACTTTAGGGGCCTCAATAGTTACCAATACTATTCTGGGCCCTACAAACCCTATTCTAATTATTAAGGCCCTTATATTACCGTGGTTACCTGAGTCATGATTGCAATTGCAAGCCCCACCAGAGCACCTTGCCGCTAACCCTCAGCCGAAAGCTCCGCACCTTGGGTTTAGGGTTTACCCATAGGCTCCAAAGTAGTTCTTTTTTGGGGCTCATATTAAGAATCCTACAAAATAACCCCAAAAAGGAGCTATATACTATGGAGCCTATGGGTAGGGTCAAAGAATAAGCCCACATGGAAACCTTGTAAATAAGGTCCTGTAGTAAGCCCTACATTCTCTAAAACCGTATCCTGCCCGAATCCCTGGGCCCTGTAATGCCCATACTAAACCGTGAACCCTAAACTCTAAACTCCTATACTAAACCCGAAACCTGAAAATCCGAGACCAAACTCGACACCTCAAGCCCTAAAACCCCCAACTCTCTAAAGCCCTTCCCTGAAGCCGACACCCTGAATCCCTTGAGGCTGCAAGAGCCGAGGCGCGTCTGCAACTGCCGAGCTTCCTCTTTGGTCAGGCGGATGCACACCTAAAGGGGGCGTTCAGGGAAACCACGTACTGTATAGAACCCTGCAGTACCCTTAAAGGGAGCTCTAGTGTAGAACCCCATAGCACCCTTAACGGGTTCTATGCCGGGTTTAGGGTTGCAGAGTTTCGCAGTTTAATTTGAGGTTTAGGAGTGTAGGAGGATCCACCGTCACTTGCGCCGGAAACCCCTGCTTCGTAAAGCTTAAAGGGAGTCCGACTGCCGCATTGCTAGTACGCGCCAGGGGGCCCAAGAGCACTTAAGGCCCCGATATTATCCAACCCTGCCACTCCATCTGAGATGATGGCCCAGGACAGGAGACCATGAAAGATGTGCGTTCCTGGGCTATTGGGACTGGCTCTGGGGCGTTGCAAGGAGTGAAGCTGCAGGGTTGAAGCCCTTTTGGGGGAATCTGCAGATGTTTAGGTCTGCTGATTCTGCATACCGTTCTACTATAAGGGCCTTAATATTTTTTTTGGTTTTGGGGGCCATTATACTATAGCTATAAGAAGAAACCCCCACAATATTTATAGGTAATTATTAAGGCCCCTATAGTACCCTTGCAACCTGCGCTGAATCTGAGTCCTCGGCCGATCACACCCACACCCTGGCGGAGGGCTCTTTGAGGATGTGTGGTTGTCAAATTAGGGTCCCTTTTTGGGTCCCTAATATAATACGGCACCTATTATTTAGGGTACCCTAAAAAGGGCCCTAATTTTGACAACTACCCATGTGGCAACCCTTGACCCGTGCCGTCTGCAGGGCTGATACTAGCGCCGGTGACTCGAATCGGACTCAAAGCGTCAGGCAGCACATATAAAACTCGCCGCGTGAAGCTGCATTGGTACAAACTGGAAACATTGAACTCATATGGGTGGTTGTGAAAATTAGGGTTCCTTGTTGGGTCCTTATTATAATACGGCACCCCTTCAGTATTTAGGGTACCCAAAACGGGACTCTAGTTTTGATTACTACCCATATGTGCTGTGAGGTCACACATCTTCTAGATGGTCTGTGTTGCTTGTCAGCAGGGCGGCCTCTTCGTCGGATGCCTCGCACATGCGACGCAGCCTCTGCGAGAAAGGGATAGGGGAGTAGCTGGTTCACAAAAACGGTGGGGCCTTAATGACCAGAACATCGTTTGGTAGTAGAAAGTTGTAGCAGAACTACATTGTGTGTCCCTGTACATATGGCAGCCTTAGAAGACAGGGACTCTACCCCAAAAGGTTAGGGTCCGTAATGTAAGAACCCCCACAAAGATACCGACCCCCTCACTTTCCCCCACACCTAGAAACAAAAGAATTACAAACACAACCAAAACCCTAAACCCTAAACCGTTAACGCAGCTTGGGTCTGAACCCCTTCATTGCGTGTTGCCCGACAGGGAAGCCGAACCTCCGGATGGTGTGCATGTCGCTGTTCCGGAGGATGGGGTAAATCCGCCTCAATGATACCCAAAGTTGGAGTCAGAGTGATTTTTTGAGGGTTTAGGGCCTATGGCTTTGGCTCAAGATCGCTTGTTTTGTAAGTATCTTCTCTGCCTGGACTGCAAGCTCAAGAAGGTACAAGGCGTACTATAGGGTTTCGGCTGCTCAAGTTTAAGGGCTTTGTGCAAAATATGTTAGAAGGCCCCCCCCACCCTCTAATAGTGACTATAAGGATTATATTGGGGTCTGATTATATTCCCATTGTACCACCATTACAGGCTGGGGGGCCTTCTAAAAAATGTGATTCAGAGTGTAGGCATCCCCTGAACTCATGCTACTTAGAGGATCATGGGACTGAGTAACTAGGGCGTAAGGTAGCTGTAGTTGTAATGACTCGCACTTGCCCAGTATCCTGGGGAGCTAAAAGTTAATCTTTGGAAGTATATTCGGAGTAGAGTACCCTAAAAAGGTTAAAGGCTACCTACTCTACTACGAGGTACTTTGTATAACTCCAATTAAGGTACTTGAAATCCTAAACTCCTAAATCCTAAACCCCCGAAGCCGTAGACCCTAAAACCCTAAAAAACTTAGACCCGAAACCACAAAAACCTTACTTAAAGTTTCCCAAGATCCTCCAATTAGCTGCTCCTAGCTCATGCAAAAGAGCTGCCAGCCTGGATTTCGACTTGTGTATGCACGGTTTGCCTTCCCACCCAGGGGGCGCAACGTACCTACATAGGGACTCGTCTTTAAGGTCAAAGTATACAATCTTTCTGGGTACATGGACCCTTGGCATAAGTTTCCCCACGATGACTCCCAGTCTTCCCAGAATGCTAGCAGCTCGGGTGCGGCTGCACGACGTGACAAGGCCTTCAAAATTTCGGGGTTAGGGCTCCGAGAAAGTCTGGGCAGCAGGCGCGAGGACGGCATACCGCTTCTCTCCAGCACCTGCATCCTTGGCCCAAAGCAGCACGGGCGGAACGGGGAGGGTTTTTTGGGTTGAGGCCGGAGTGAAATGTGTGCGCATGTGATGCAGAGGAAATATAGCTTTTCTTCAACCGGGGCCCGGGCCTAAACCCGGGTTGGGAGGGGGGGGCGGTCCCGGGTGACTGGAGACGAGACAGGCGATATTATGGATGCAGAAATATATGGGTACTTGGAGGATCATGGGACTTAGTAAACTTATAAGTACCCTTGGCCTTAACTGGAGTTTTTATATGGATGCAGATGCATCTCAGTCCCCCGCATCCATTTCGGCCAGCTGAGTTTCAGCCCGATACCTGGGCGCAAGGGTACGCTTCTGCCTTGGACTGGGCAGCAACCTCGTAATCTAGACCCAAGAGTAACCTAGGAACAGAAAGGGTGCCCTTTTTGGTTTAAAGGGGCTTATAAGGGAGCCTGAATCCTACGAAAAGGGAATAAGGGCTTACTCTAGGTCCTAATAATTTAGCTATGCACCCCCTGAATCGCGAACCCCCGAGATGCCTGAACACCAAACCCTGAAGTCGGACCTGCTGGGTTCCCTGTGTTTCCACACTTCTGCGGGATCATCTTCGGAATCGAACTTGCACTGTATTCCCCGACTGAGAAGTAACTTCGCAACATCGACCTGACCTTCCCAATTATATATCAGTCCTATGCAGGTTTGCTAACATTAAGGGTCTCCTTGGACTTTACACTAGATACTAGACATATTGCTGCGCCTACCCGAAGCCACACTTGAACCTAAATACCCTAAGCGCTAAGCCCTGGACGAACCCAAAACCCTAAACCTTGAACCCCAAACCCTAAACCCTAAACCTTGAACCCTACCCTAGTAGCTAAAACCTTCGACTGTTGCCAAGGCCAGGCCGATACCCTCAACGGGGAGATCCCTAGCCGTAATGGTCCATGCAGCCGGTAGGGTTCCTTTAAGGATTCCTTTAAGGATACCCCAAGGGTTCCTATGAGGGTTCTATAGGGACTTGGGGAAACAGGGAGAATGTGCCCAAGCAGTATATGCTTTGGCCACGAAGTACCTACATATATATATATATATATATATATATGTATGTATATGTATATGTATATGTATATGTATATGTATATGTATATGTATATGTATATGTATATGTATATGTATATGTATATGTATATGTATATACATAGGTAGATAGATAGAGGGACTATGCTCTAAGGCCAAAGTATATACTTTTTGGGCACATGGACCCTCATGGTAAAAGCAACAGCCCTGAACCCACAAAGCTCCTTGATAACCCCAAGCCTGCTACGCTGAATGAGGGCAGGACAGGGGATCCTGGAGCATTGCCACCTGCAGAGTCAGGGAGGGTTTAGGGGTTAGGGTTTGGGGGTTTAGGGGTTAGGGTTTAGGGAAACTACTAAACTCCGAAACTCCTAAGCCTCGGGAGTTCAGAGAGGCCGACCTGTTTTGCTTTTCTGCCGGGGCCTTTCAGTCTGACTATAGTAACCCCTATAGCAAGCCCATGTAAACAGAACCCTAACCCCAAAGCCCTGAAACCCTGACTGTAGCGGTGCAGATCTTGAAACAATCCGGCTTCGGTGGCTTTCTCTGGTCTCCGGTGTTTGGGTCTCCGGGTTCAGGGCTCAGGCGGTTGATGATATAAATCCTGCATTACCCATAGTAAGGAATATACCATGATTCCCATAGTTTAGGGTCCTTGAGGTCATGCAGGATTTATATGGTAGTTTCCGAAAGTAGGGGTCCTTATAATAAGGATCCTACTATTTGGGGTACTATATCAGGGTCCCCTATTTTCGGAAGCCCCCATATCATCAACCGGGGGGACTCTCCGGGCCTGGGATTTCTGGGCATGCTTCCATGGCTTCGGTTTTAGATAGGGTTCAGGTTTTGCCAACACCTACGTTTCGGTACATGTTAGGTTTTGTACTACCAGCCTAGAAGAAAGTAGGTTATGCTAGTTTCAGGTAGGGTTCAATTCTTTCGAGTCTTGAAGGCTTTCGGATGTCAGGCGATCTCAAACCTCATTGGCTTGACACTTCCGGGTCGGCAGACTTTCCAGTGGAAGCTTTCCTGACTCACCGGGTCCCCACAAGGGTTTTGTGAGTGGGGCTCTCAACAGGCCTTATTATAGTCAGAATAACAGCATAAAACAACAATAACAACGACAACAACGAGAATAGTATGAAGGTCAGTTGTGATAATGTTAGCAATCATCAGTTTTTTGCGGCCTGAGGTGGTTGTCTAAAGCAGGTTTATGATATTTACTTGGAACACCCGTTCTTGTGTTTTCTTATCTGTCTGCACCTTAGGCGACCCAAGGGGAAAGCACGAGAACCATACGCCATAAACAAAATGCCGCTCCAAAACTCTTACCAGCTGCTGTCCGGAAACCCCAATCCAAGAGAACAGTCCGTGGACAGAACTCAGAACATCCCGACCGAAATCCGAAACTTCGCCACAAGTCTCAATGAACTTTCTGCTCCGTATCCGGGTGTCCGGCTGGATCAGACCGGAACGTCCGCGCTGAGGCAGCAAAGTGGATGTTCATTTCGGGTGGTTCGGGGCTTTTCGAGTTGCGATGCATGGAGCTAGAGTCAATCCGCAAGCCCGAAAGCGCGCCGCTGGATGCCGCATGACATTACAGCAGCATCCCTCAAGGGAATTCGCAGTGCCAAAGCCTGTTACCGCCAAAGAAGTCTAGCCTGTGACTTTCGCTCAGAATGCAGGCCCTTTGTTGTCAAGTACCTGGCCCTCACATCACGGAATACTCGCAGAACTACCCATCATCGTTGCTGTTCCCTAACTACAAAAGACTCAATGCTAAACCATAAGGTGAGATGTTGCAAAATATGTTATACTATATTATATTGATATAATACTGTGTAGTCGTGTTTTCTATGGTTCGGCATGTTCAGGGTTGGAGCCTCCAGCAGCCACCGCCATCTCGTGCTTCTTCTGGAGGAGCAAGGGGGTTTAGGGGTGCAGGGTTTAGGGGCTTTGGGGGGTGCGGGCAGCATTCCTGATGAACATTTCATTCGGGAGCAGGAACGAAGGGACCCGAAAATCAGGGGGAAGGTGGCAGGTTTCTCCCAGATGTAGCCATTAAAAGGATCAGCACTATAAGCAAGGACTAATACTGCTAACCATAGACAACTTACAAGGGCATATGATATAAGCGCCTTTGTCCAGGCTCCATGATTACGGGGGACCAGGTCCGAATGATACACACCGCCTGCCAATCAAACAACCGTACTGTAGGAGGAGCTTTAAAAATTAGAATAGGGTTTTGGGGTTGGGGTGGTTATTTTTTATTGTATTGGTACTTATTTCGGTCCCTCTATTAGAGGTTGAGGGTTTGAGGGTTGAGGGTAACTCCGGAAGCTCCCGAGACCTAAAGCCCTGGACACGACCCTCCAGAAGTCAGGAGTTTTACCGCTTTTTTTGCGAGAAACTTGGATTCTGGGTTTTTTTTTAAGATGCAATGGCCCTTTCTCGGTTTAGGGTTCAGAGTAGGGTATTGAGTTGAGGGGTTCTTCTCTAAATGACCTTTACCACGCTGGATTTGGGCAAGCGGGCTTCGGGTTATGACCTGGTGGTTAGGGTTTAGGGTTTAGGGTTTAGGGTTTAGGGTTTAGGGTTTAGGGCTTAGGGTTTAGGGCTTAGGGTTTAGGGCTTAGGGTTTAGGGCTTAGGGTTTAGGGCTCAGGGTGTTAGCATTAGCAATTAGAAGATCTGGCCTGTTGATTAGCATTGGCAAATAGAAGATCTGGCCTGCAACCGTACTTAGCTTAAGTATGTTACTTCAGGTCTTTTGGCTGAGCCGCCGTCAACCTAGAAACCAAAGGAAAGAGTGCCTCATGATCTCAGGAAACCGTTTCAGAAGCCTCCACCCCTTCAAGGGCAGAGACAAGGACGATCGGGGTATATGGTCTATGGTTCGGGAAATTGAGGATTTGCAACTCTACCAGGGTTCAGGATTTAGAATTCTGAGAGGGTTCGGAATTTGGTATGCTGAGTTGGGTTTCGGAATTAACTTGTAATTAGTGTTTCCGGGTCAGGAAGTCGTACATGTTCAGGGCCGTTTGATGTCCGTTGGGGCCTGCCTTAGCCGGGGAATCTAGAGAATTAGACCTCAGCTGTTGCGTGGCAAGGTTCTTCAGGGGCCACCATGACCTGAGTGTTCGGGCATATGGTAATATGCCGTTGTATAGGATCTAGGTACAATACTGGTTGTGAATGCTTGCATATGTATATGTATACATAAGTACATAACTTATGTGTGTGTATATATATACATAAATACGGATGGATTCATGGATGGATGGATGAGGGAGTAATGATTTTAGGAGGATGCCATGAGAAACGAGCCGGTGCCTGTGCTGCCACTAAGGCTTGCTCAGAGAGGTGGTCGTCGAGAAAAGACCTTGGATGCTTCAGGATTTTGTAGTAGTAACTTTGCTGGTCGCTTGATGTGGTTAACCTCCGAAGCAGAACGAACCGCCGAGCTATGGGCCATTCGAAGCTTCTGCCACGATCGACGTCCCGTCCTGTTCATGGAATCGCGGTAGGTGTCGGATGCCAATAATGAAACCGGATGGTTGATATGAAGCCGACGGATGGGTGTTCTGGTGTTTCGAGTCTTCGCTGTATCCCACTCGATTCGGTATGCATCGGAATTAGGGACCACCTGGTACTACGAGAAAGGTGGAACTTCAGGTGAGCGGAAAGCCAAGAGATACCGCAATGCCAGAACTGCCCAAACCTCAACAAAACTGACGATGCGCTGCCCGACAATCGACCGCACAAGCTACCGACAAGGTCTTGTAAGCACCCTTGACACCTGAACGGCGTCCATAGCTTTCGGTGGAGTCCTGTTGTGGGCTTCTAAAGTGTAACAGGCCATTTAATAGGCCGAACTAAAGTGGACTGCCGGGCATAAAGCCTGGTAGCCTAAACCCTAAAGTGCAGCCTTTAAGCTTCAAGGCCTCATAGGGTTTGAAGCTTCTCGTGCTCTTGTAAGTCGGCTGCCAGGACATTACCCTAATGCTCCTAAGAGGGTCTTGGGCTTTCTGGGGGAGGGTTTCGGCTTTGGGGGCTAGGGTTTGGGATCTCACTACAAGGGTCCATGAGCCTTAGGGTATAACCCCACGCCGTAGATTAGGACTACATCGTAGATCTAGGAAAAAACCGTAATGAGATTTACATGTGCACAGTGTTTTCGGCGATGAGTCAGCAGGCCTCCTGGCACATGGCCGTTGGAGCCAAAGACCTCATACCTGAGGTCTTCGTTTTTAAGGGCAATTAGGGTTTAGGGTCTAAGGATTAAGGCATTTCGGGTTTCAGGGTTTAGGGCTTCTGCGGTTTATGGTCGAAGGATTAAGGGGTCAGGGTTTTCTTTGAACATGTAGGCATCGAACTGGGTGTTTTGGGGGGTTTAGTACAGCAAAACGATACTGCGACTATAAGCGAATCCCAGTACTAAACTTCCGATAAGATTCTCCCAGAGTTTTTCGGCTTTTGAGGTTGTAGTTTGGGCTTCCGGGGCTTAGGAGGGGCAACGTACGGGCTTCAGTGCGAGGTAGAGGAATTGTGACTTTCAGCCTTGAAGCGGCTTCGGGCAGGGGCTGAAGGAGTTGAAGGGCTCTATACTCCAAGTCCTTAACCCCTAAACCCCTAGAATCTTCAGCGCCCCTAAGCCTTAAGGGGATACACCGTGCAAGCGCAGGTTTTGGGCAAAGAGGTTTAGGGGCCGAGGCCTTTCGAGAGCACAGCTGCTGCAATGCCCAACTTACACTGACATTGCCAAAGAGCTCGTTGCCATAGCTGGTCATGATCACCACGCCGTTGGACCTCGTGGCCCATGAATCGCTTCTCGCCATACTGGTGGCTCTTCGAAGTCTGCAGTCGAATATAGGGGCCATAATAATTAGAATAGGGTTTTGGTGCCCATTATGCTATAGTTATAATAAGGAACCTTCAAAACAGAATTTGTGATTAATTTAGGACCATTTCTTATTCCTAAATGTTGCGTGGATCGCCTTCGTTTGCCTCAGTTTACGTTGGAGCATGTGCTGAAAAAACATGCTGGGCCGCAGGAATCGCGGTGTTGCGTGCTTCAACATGGCATCCTCGAAATGCCGTTCTCCGAAGGACAAACAATGCAAAACAGCTCGATGTGCTTACGCTTCCGGATTTGTAATAGGGCATTCACATGTCATGTAACTATATGTCGGGAATTACGGATTTTGTTGAGGGCTGCTTGCCTGATACATTGGCATCGTTTCATCACCATCATCATCACCATCCTCATCATCATCAACAACAACATCACAGTCATTATTTAATTGTCACCATCAAGGAACTTATCATCGTTCGGGCATGGATGCACCGGTAGCATGGACACCATGGTTGGGGCATCTATGTACCCGTGGCATGGGCGTCGCTGCCATTGTTGGGGCCCGGATGCAGCGGCCAATGGATGCACTGGTAGCATAGATGTTATCCTTGTGGCGGGAATGCGCTAGTCAATGGATGGGCTGGTAGCATGGAGGTTATCAGCCACTGGCCAATGGATGGGCGGGCAGCATGAACGTCATTATTGTTGGGGCATGGATGCACTGGTAGCATGACCGAAACGACCTGAGCGAAAAGAGCGTGATCGACCCTAAATGTAGGCCTGGCCTGTCAGGTCAACTTCTAACGGAGCCTGATATAATCCCGACTTCACAGGGTACAACAGCTTTCGGAGATTCATTGTGCAGGTGGAAGCGTCTCTTTAGAGCTTTAAGTGTTCCGCTTTAAAAGGCTAGGGGAGGAAAGCGGTACGAGGCCTACCGCATTCGACAACAACATAACCCTCCGTGCCTGAAGGCATGAGGGTGGTTGCTTGCTTCAATGGATTCTCTCGCCGTATTAGCCGTGTGGATGGCGACTGATAGACTCAGGCTCGCGCTGCAGCTCGCAGCCAGTTGCCACACTTTCCTGGCGAAACAGTTGCTATAAACGGGTGTGGTTTAGGCCTTTGCTACTGCTGTTCGTCGCAGTAGTCGTTGTCGTAGGAGCAGCAGCAGAAGCAGCGGCAACAAGAATCTGGAATGTCATGTTCTCGGCTTTCTAGAGCGAACAGAAAGTGTTTTTTCTCGCCAGGCAAGTTGTCAGGACAGAGCCCAGGGAAAACCCTGGTGAAGCAACGTGGCGACACGCTTGCGTGTGCACGTGCTGCACCATAAGCCTTGTGAACTCGGGCTCATGTCCTAATCATGAAGCCCACCTGTATTTACTGTACTTGTGCTGCCCTGACCAAAAACATCTCACAATTTAGGTTAAGTTCCGACGCCCGCCTGTGCTTACATACAAATATACATAGACTCGTTACAAACAGGCACAAACCAAACACCATGAAAAGGTTGTAGGGTTGATTGCCTTGCACTGTAACTTGGAATCTTCGTACAAGAACTTCCCCAACAGACCTGGGCATTTTCCAAAACCCTAGGCCCTATGGACGCTGAGCCCTAAGACTTAATTAAACCGTAAGCCCTAAACCGTCACCCAAAAGCCTAAACCAAGTATAACCAAGAGAGTGCTTGGGGTGTAAGAAGGGTCGTTCGCGACTCTGGGAATCTATGGGTGTAAATCGTGGGCTCTGAGTAGTTAGAAAAAGGCTTCTCTAAGGGTTTCCCGAAAAAGTTAAGAATACGTGTTACTCGTATGACCCTAGCATAGGACCTTGACAACTGAGCTTGTGTGTGTGTGTGTGTGTTGAATTGTTGTTTGAGGGGAGGCGGTGTCGTAGTATAAGTTTCATCAGGAACCCCGAGGGATCAAGGGATCCTAATGAATAGAGTACCGGTTCAGGATGCTAGAGTTGCGATTTGGGGCTTCAGGCTTTCGCGCTCGGCACGTCTCAGGTCTTCTCGACACAGGTGCTGTTCACCCAATGGCACTCGCCATTGCACCAGGTGGGACCTCTGCTGCAGGCAAGTCTGGTGAGTGCTCAAAAGCCTGTCACCAAAATGGCCATACACAAGTGCTCCTTCTGGTTCGGATCCGCCCCAGCCCACATCCCGAAAAGTGGAAAAACACAACGCGGAATCCAAGCCGAACATCTGTCTACACACGCCAAAAAGGCTTGAAATCTCGAAGACACCAAAGGAAGAAATCCTGCAATACTCAGAAGGCGCGAGACTACCAGTACATGGTGCGTCCTGCTGTTGATGGAAAAAACCCTGCATGACCCTAAGGACTCTAAACTATGGGAACTATGGTATCTTCCTTTTGATGGGTATTGCAGGATTTTGTCCATCAACAGTGTCTCTAGATCTCTGCAGGATGCGACTGGAAGCTCGGGAGTACATTGAATTGGATCTCGCGGATCGGAAGGCAGCGTGACAGTCCAAGACAAGGGCGAAGCTGGTACTGTCTGATTAAAAATCACGTTTGGAGAATTAATGCAGGTTTTTGTTCACCAACAGTTCCCGCAGACCCGAACATGACAAAAATCCACCATCAACATCCTGGAGCTGTGAAGACTTCCTGAAGCAATAGACCCCACTAAACCCCCAAATCCAAAGATGCCAAACCATGCTCAAACACCTTTACATTGAGGATTTGGGGTTCGTGTTTAGGGCTGTTAAACGCTAAACCCATATACACATATACCTCCTCCAGGGCTTTGGGTTTAAGGCTTAGGGTTTTTTGGTATACCCACACCCCAAGAAGCTTCCAGCACAGGAGATCCTTTAAATAACAACGGAACAACTCCCAAACCTTGATTCTTACAGGCCTTGACACCTTACACTTTGAACAAAGCCCAAAAAAGCAAAAAACATATGCAGAACTCTAAAAAGTAATCCTTAAATGAGCTATAGCCCCTTAGACAAGCCTCCTGAACCCCTTGAGCCCTTGAAAATCTATTCTGATGTACATAGGACTTTAAGTACTCCCAAATGAAGTGCCTACAGCCCTATAAGACCCTAATGAACTCTTAAATAAACTCTGTAAAACCACATAAACCCCTACTTTAAAAGAGCTAAAAACCCTAAACACTAAACCCTACCTCAAAAGAACTAAAAGATACCAAACTCTGAGCCCAAAAGCTCTTTAAAACTCTACTTTAAAAGAACTACAATAGAAGCCCAAAAGTTGTAATGAATAGAGAATCCCAGTACTATTTGGCCTTGATCCGGTTTCCAACCTTTTTGGGGTTTACAAAAAAAAGATAGCAAACTCTGAACCCAAAAGCTCCCTAAAACCCTACTTTAAAAGAACTAAAAGAGTGCAGCACCGAGCTCTGGGCCTCGCCCCCGAGGGCACTGAAAGCAGCTCGGGGCTCGGTGGGCCCCGCAGTTCACCTGGGGCTTCTTGAAGGACTTAGGGTTTAGGGTTTTTTTTTGAGCAGGATTTAGGGTTTTAGGGTTGAGGGTTGAAGGATTTAGGGTTTTAGGGTTTTTTTTTTTCAGGACTTAGGGTTTAGGGTTTAGGGTTGAAGGATTTAGGGTTGAGGGTTGAAGGATTTAGGGTTTTAGGGTTTTTTTTTTCAGGACTTAGGGTTTAGGGTTTAGGGTTGAAGGATTTAGGGTTGAGGGTTGAAGGATTTAGGGTTTTAGGGTTGAGGGTTGAAGGATTTAGGGTTTAGGGTTTAGGAATGCAGGACTTAGGGTTTTAGGGTTTAGGGTTGCAGGACTTAGGGTTTTAGGGTTTAGGGTTGCAGGACTTAGGGTTTTAGGGTTGAGGGTTGAAGGATTTAGGGTTTCAGGGTTGGGGGTTGAAGGATTTAGGCTTTTAGGGCTGAGGGTTGAAGGATGTAGGCTTTTAGGGCTGAGGGTTGAAGGATTTAGGGTTTTAGGGTTGGGGGTTGAAGGATTTAGGGTTTTAGGGTTGAGGGTTGAAGGATTTAGGGTTTCAGGGTTGGGGGTTGAAGGATTTAGGCTTTTAGGGCTGAGGGTTGAAGGATGTAGGCTTTTAGGGCTGAGGGTTGAAGGATTTAGGGTTTTAGGGTTGGGGGTTGAAGGATTTAGGGTTTTAGGGTTGAGGGTTGAAGGATTTAGGGTTTTAGGGTTGAGGGTTGAAGGATTTAGGGCTTGAAGGTCTAGGGTTTAGGGTTTAGGGTAGGGTTCAGAGTTTAAGGTGGCTTTAGCAGAGATTTGCGATGTAGGCTTAGGGTTTGTAGTGATTCGGGGTTTGTGGCCGCAGGGGTTTAGGGTTTAGGGTTAAAGGATTTAGGGTGAAGGGTTTATAGGGATTGGGGGTTTGTAGCCTTAGTGTTTATAGGGTTTTGGGGCTTGAGAGTTTAGGGGTGTAGGGTCTAGAGTTTATCGGGATTCGGAGGGCTTTGCGGTTTAGGAATTGAGGGGTTTAGGGTTTAGGGTTTATAGGGATATAGGGATTTGAGGTTTGTAGGGATTTGGGGTGTAGGGTTTAGATGGATTGAGGGTTTAGAGGTTCATAGAGATTTGGGATTTAGAATTTTTGTATTTAGGCTTAGGGGTTACAGGTTTGGGGGTTTATAGGGATTTGGGGTTTAGGAGCTAAAGGGTTTAGGGTTTAGTGTTTATAGCGGTTAGGGGTTTAATAGGGATTTGGGGTGTAGGGTCTAGGGTTTAGTGTATAGGACAGGATATAATATAGGGCTGGGGCTTTTTGATGGGATGGCTTGGGACTTGTTTCTGTAAAGTGACTCATGCAACTGGATTGCCATGCAGATTACTAGAAGGGTTGCTACACGGGCTGGGCTACACTAGAGGTAAACTGCAAGGGTTGGGGTCAAGGTTTGCCTTGCACTTTTCTTGCCGTTGAAAGCTTTCAGGTTTTTATGGATTGGGCTGTTGGATTTCAGAGGCTCTGCACCAAAAAAGGCAACAGTGCAACAAGCCCAACACCCTAAAGCCGAAACCGTACACCCTAAGCCCTAAACCTAGCTTCTTGAAGGCTACCGAGCTCGCCTGGTCTGTAGGTTGAGGATTCAGCTGCTTTGGGTTCAGGGTTTCTGCACTTAGCGTGCGGGTTTAGGCTTAGGGTTTAGGGTACGGGCGGCGGTTTAGGGACATGGGCTTCGATTTTTTGATGGGCTTCGATTTTTTGATGTATGCTCGGGCCGGGTACTAAGGAGATAGCTTCACGGAAACCTGAGCCGAGCCTAAAACCAACAGGAGTCTGCATGCCTGGATGTCTTCGAGCGGGACGCACTGGCCTTCATGCCTCAGAGAAGACCCGCGGAGTGCAGCACCCAAACCCCTAAACCGCATCAGTCCACTAAAGCATTCAGGTTTCAAGCCCCGAACCGTACACCCTTCAGGAACTCTGCTCTTGAAGATTTTTCGGAATGCAAGCAGGGTTCAGGGTTTCGGTTTAGGGTGTTGGGTTCAGGGTTTAAAGTTCAAGCTTTAGCGGGCTCCCATGTTGCGATGCTAGTTGATAGGGCGGCTGCAGCTGAATCTGAGCTCCGTCACTGCGATCAGGCAGAGCGAGAACATGCAGAAGCATCACCGCATGTGTACATGCACACATGCATGCATGCACAGAAAGCTCAGAGACAGTGGTCTAGGAAACAGCGGGTCTTCCGAAACTCTTCTGCAGGCACATGAGGCCACCACCGCCAGAAAGGGAAAGCTGAAGTTTCCAATACCGAAACCCTAAACGTTGGACCCAAAGCCGTTAACTCTTGACCCTACGGCCCTAAGTCCTGAACCCAACTGGGCCCCAAACCCTAAACCCAACTAGGCCCTAAACCCTAATCCTCAATTCCAACTCGTCGTCGTACTGAGTCGTACTGGTTGCATCGAAGGACCAGGTGCAGTCTCCGTTGCACCAGTCACCTCGCAGATTCTCGAAAAGCCCTTAATGAAGGAATACACCGTAACTGTCTTCGATTATAGCAGGTTTTCTGATTTAGTGGCGCTTTTCCCCTAATTGAAGGATATTGGAAGGTCTGAAGGCGGTGGACACGACAAGACTGAATGACGGTTTCGGCGTGGGGTTCAGGG